AATAAATACTAGAGCATTCGCCAAAGTACATGATAATTCTAGAAACGTTGCGTCACTGTAGTCATGTGACTGCTGACGCAACATAAGACTCTCCTCTCTCAACCAATGCTCAATTTTCCCTCAACTAATACTGTCCTCTAAAGTTCAACATTCTATGCCCTCACCAACACCTTCCTCCCTCAACCAATGCTTAATCTTCTCTCAACTAATACTGTCCTCTAAAGATCAACATTCTAAGTCATCACCAACACTCTCCTCCGTCAAACATATGTGAACAGATATCATTTAGAAGACTAGCAGAAATATAGAAACCATGTAGTTCAATATGAATGAATATTAAAACAATATTGACACGCCGTCTATCGTGTAAATTGCGTGATTATATTAAACAGAGTGAATTTCCATCATAGATTAGGAGAAAATACCAGATTTTATTATAAAATTAAGATTCAGAAAGAGACAATGTATAATTGTTGATGTCAGATAATCTCTGATATGACATGGATATAAAGTCGAACTCATATATTTTTGTCTCATATTAATGACATTATGATATTTTAAAATCAAGGAGAAATCTTTGTGCATGGATTTATACAAAATATAACATAGAAGTATTACAATAGTCCCAAAATGTGTAAATAATTTTCGTAATATTTTAGTCTACGCATTTGATAATATGAATATTGTTAGTAAATGTCTTAATCTCTTAACGTAACAATCATCTGCCACTTCCATGGTTGAAGTAAACTTCTTCTTTTTAAACGAAGTTTTCTATATGTTGGAAACTTTTATGTAATCAAAGAGATTCTCTGTCAGATGTAAAATACTGTTTAGCTTAGGTAGTATTATATATTAATTTATTTTGTATTTGTAATTTATTGATGTCGAGGCTCCAGAGATTTTTAGAAGGCCTAAGTGATAGACCTATAAATAGCTGCGACCAGACGAGCAGAAACAGAGAGAGAGTAAAAAGTAAAGTCACGTGAAAGAGACGTTCGGTGAGAGAAAAGTTAGAAAATGTAAAGTTAACCATTGTAAGGAGTGAAAAACCTAACGGCTGATACGTTAGAGTGAGATTAATAGTTTGAAAGAGATAAGGAAAATAATTTGCCTTGTCAAAGAGTATTCTAAGCTAATTGAACTCGATTGTGTGGACTTTGACGAAAAAAGCAGACGATTATTAGAAGTATATGATACAACTTTGGTAACTCACTCGACAGCGTAAGTGAATTATGTATGGATGCTATTGTGATAAAATTAGATAAAAATAGTTTGGCTTGTCAACTGAATTCTAAAGCAATTGAACTAGCCTAAGTGGATTTTTGACAAGAAGAAGAGAACTGTATAGTATTTAATATACAACTATGATCTCCATATTGTAAAGAATTTTGTATATACATTCAACCTGTTTCTAACATACATATTATTTTAAAAACAAGGGATGCATACTGGTCGTTTATTGTCGAGTTTAACGCCAACAAATCACAGACACCCACTGTAAAATAATCCTTAACCCATCACACCCATATATTTACATTACTATATTTACTACTAAAAAGTAAGTTTCTGACACTCTCACGCTTCTATTCCTCCTCATTTCAGTGAAAGGAATACATAAAAGAAAAACAGAACCAAGAGGTATAATATCATTTTAAGCTATTCTTTCCTTGTTTTAATCTAGGTGTTTGCTAGGGGGAGTTTGAAAGCAAGTTTATAAAAGTAGCCCTAGAATATCTAGAACCTTCGTGAATGTTAACTACTGAGAGACTACGAAGGTTGCATTATAAAAATGAGAATCGGTAAAGCGATCTGTGAACTAAGGTCTGCAAATGTGTATAATTGATATTTAGCCTGCAGCGTACGTTAAGGGAAAAATAAGCCAATTTGTTATCTATAATTGGACCGTACTTCGCATTATTTTAACTGAATAACTCAGTTAAAAGAACGCGTCAAATGATAAAAGTGATACAATGGCGTAGGAAACGGGGGGGGGGGGTCCCACTTTTCAATCTGTATCAGTAGAAGGCAAGAGAATGAATAAAATTTAATCCAGAATTCAAG